CACGAAATATTATTCACTAAAAAATCTCAGCTTTGTTTTGGTCCCGCAAAAATAATCTTTAAAAATCCAAGCTTAGTTTCGGTCCCTCAAAAAAATATTCTTAAAAAATCTACGATTCGTTTTGGTCCCGCAAAAAATATTATTAATAAACCCAAGCTTTGTTTTGGTCCCGAAAAATATTCTTTAAAAATCCAAAAATCTTAAAAAAAATATTTTTAAACAAATCCAACCTTTGTTTTGGCCCTTCAAAAAATATTCTTAAAAAAAACTAACCTCTGTTTTGGTCTTCCGAAAATTTTTTTTCAAAAAATCCACGCCATGAAATAGTCATTAAAATATTCTTTAAGGGGACCCCCACCCATTCTCGGGGTCAAAATTTTTGTTGATATAATTCGAATCTACACTGATTAAAGAATGTCTCTACAAAATTTCAAGTGAAAATCTCAAGAACTCTTGAAGATATAGCCGATTTATTGTGTCAGCATCAAGTGACGGCTGAAGGGCTTCTCAAACTTTAAACGCGTTTTTCTCTAAACATTTTTTTGCGAATGGCGGACACGATAACTCAAAAACTAATAATCCAATCGGTTCCAAATTTTGCAACGTTTCTCTGGGAGTGTATAGCTCTCGTATGAGCTAGGACAAAGCCAATCGGCGAAGAACTTCCTTATTTTTTAACTTGGTTTTTGGTAAAAAATCGGCGATTTTCCAAAAATATTTTTTCAAAGGTCCACCATTTTGTTAATTTTAGAGCGAAGTCACTAATCCTAGTTCATACGAGAGCCAGACATGTACTCTTTCTAACACCGTTGGAATTTTCGGATTCCGATGTTCCAGTGAGGAGTTATCATGCCCGCCATCAAAAATAAGGATTTGTCTTTAATTACAAAAAAAAAAAAAAAAAAAAAAAAAAAAAACAACAAAACAATAAGAAAAATGTTTTGTAAATTATTTTTCTTCTCTTTTAAATATATGTGCAAAGTTACAAACCTTAACAAGCATTTGTATTCATTTATCAGCCCATTGAAAATCTTGAAAAATTAAAATGGAGAATGGGGGGTGAGGTTCCCTTAAAAAATTCGCGCCTTGAAACAGTCACTTTTTTATTAAAAAAATCCACGCTTTGATATACATGCCATGAAATAGTCCTTTAAATATTCGTAAAAAATCCACGCCTTGATATACTTGCCATGAAATGGTCCTTTAAATATTCGTAAAAAAATCCACGCCTCGAAATAGTCCTTTAAATATTCGTAATTAAATTTACCCTCGAAATAGTCCTTTAAATATTCGTAAAAAATCCACGCCTCGAAATAGTCCTTTAAATATTCGTAAAAAAATCCACGCCTCGAAATAGTCCTTTAAATATTCGTAAAAAAAAACACGCCTCGAAATAGTCCTTTAAAATTTGTTTTAAAAATTCCACGCCTCGAAATAGTCCTTTTAATTTTTTTTTTAAAATCCACGTCTTGAAATAGTCATAAAATATATTCCTTTAAAAATTCACGCCTTGAAAAAGTCATAAAAATATTCGTTAAAAAATCCACGCCTTTAAACAGTCATAAAAAATATTCGTTAAAAAATCCACGCATTGAAATAGTCCTTAAAAATATTTCTTAAAAAATCCACATCTTGAAATAGTCATAAAAAATATTCGTTAAAATCTACGCCTTGAAAAAGTCATAAAAATGTTCTTTAAAAATTCCACGCCTTGAAACAGTCATAACAAATATTCGGTAAAAAATTCAAGCCTTGAAATAGTCCTTAAAAATATTCTTTAAAAAAATCCACGTCTTGAAATAGTACTTAAAGATATTATTTAAAAAAATCAACGCCTTGAAATAGGCATAAAAAATATTATTTAAAAAAGATTTCTATATTTTGTCTCGTCTGGTTTCATTCCGATGCCACGTCTGAACGAAGGACCCAAATTTTAGTCCAGAGGATCATGTATTATGTTCGAATCCAATAAGTTGTGATCCTAAGAGCACTTCTTGTAGAGTAGTGTAGGGTCCGTCTCCTTGCAGGTTAACATTCATTTTTGTATTCTTCGTATACTTACACCTCATTCCAATTTTTTTATACCACCCTCGTTAGTTTACTTCACTCCCAGTTCAGTTTTATTTTTTCTTAACCTACTTAAGGTGCTTAATAAAGCCAATGGAGACCAAGATGCCAAATTCTTTTTTTGTATTTTTTCTCTCTCCCTCTCTATATTTGGACAAAGTTAGCGGCGTTTAGTTTTTACCTTAAGCCTGTTTAAGGACTTTTAATAAGGCCATATGAAAAGAAGAAAAAAGGAAAACAATAACACCAACAATAAAAGAATAAACTTTTATTGGTGGCATCAGACGCCAGGTTTTATTATAAAAAAATAAACACACAAACAAAAAATTCGCAATATTTCCTACAAACAAAAGAATTGTGGACACCACGACAAAAGAATGTCTAGAGGAGGCTGTTTATAATGCGTATAAATTGGTAGTACTTATGGCTATGACAGTATTATGATTGCAGAAATGAAGACAAGGCACGTTACGGAGTGGAAATGTTTTTAATTCATTTTTTTTTATTTTATTTTGCCTTCAGAGGTTTGTTTGGGAATTCAAGAAATTTTCATATTGCAATGTGTTGCGTGAAATAGACGCTTTGTGTTTGTAAGCATTTTCGCAATAAGGGTGCTAATAGTTTGCAGATTAGAATTGTACCTCTACAATTTATTTGAAGGTTTTCCTTTTTGGTTTGTAGAAATTGGCCGAATTGTGATGGATGTTAAAATAGTAATTTAGCTCAGTGTATTATTATTTATTATCATATTCCTGTTTATAATACAGTAGCATCATATTTTAAAACTCTGGACTGATAATATTTATTATCAAGGCAAATCATTTATAAAGTCATAACTACCAGATTAGAACACCATTGGCATAATATATTGAATAATCATTATTCAATTTTATGATAATAATTTCAAGTTTCACCATCGCCCCGTAAATGAATGGTTGGTAATGGTAACCCTGCATGCAATCGAATGGCTGTCTCAGCCAACTACTACAAATCACACAGTTATTATTTCGCATAAAAAACGAATGAATGCAAAAATATCCACGGGCAATACAAGGAGTGGCCTCAATATCGACACCTTTTTGGTATGAAATAATAATGGGAATTATTGTTAATCGGAAAAGGGTAAATGTGTCTTTATCATAAGGCTGAAAGTAATCTTTGTTTTTTTTTTCTTGTAGAAACTTGTTTTACGTTGTTGTTATAAACAATTTAATATTTGAATTGAAAACAAAATCAAAACAAGAGCAATTTAGATAACATTGACAGTCTTTCAAATACAAATATGGGGCCAGACCACAAAGTTTTTGTACCATGATTTGAACTAAAATAAATGTGGAATTTTTTATTGGGATTTGAAATAATCTGAGAAACCCAAATATTAAATTATATATATTTTGAGAATTTCCAGATTTGTACCATCAACTCTATGAGAGAGGGTGTGTAAATAAAGTTTTAAATTTTTATGGTTTTATTTTAAACCCAGTTTATGCAACAACATCCTATCATTTTAATATCCTGTGTCTTAAGATAATTTTAAGCAGGACAAACATAACAAACATAGTCATCATCACCACACAACCATTAAGCTTTCATGAAATGTGGCCAATTAAGATTAGATTTATTTTTTTTTTTGAACATAAATGGTAAGGAAGGAACAACACAAAGCCAGGAATGTTAAAAAGATAAAAATGAAATAAATATTGACTTCCGGTCTTTATGCGATGGCAAATGAAATTTTAGCTTGTTGCTTTGCAGATATCAAAAGAAATCACCATTTCAAAAATTATAACCTTAAGCCAGTTAATGATAATAAAAAAGGAGCCACATAGGCTAGAGGGTAATTTGATCCCACCAATGAATGTGAATGGCGGTTTGGAGCCATCACAAGGATGAATCGTTTTGTCGTAACTGAAAAATTTTTTGATTCATAATTGGGAAAATAATAAAATTAAAATGGGAATGATTTTTTTGATTTTATTAATTTCTTTTGTCAATTTGTAAATATCTCAAATAATGTCTTCTTCCAAGTTTGAATATCTACAAAAAAATGAAAATCAAAATTAGCACTTTAACAAAGAATGTAAGCAATTTTTTTTTGTTTAAAAAAAAGTTCAGCGCCAAGAAGCCTAATCTCAAGGCTATCGGATGATACGCAACCCACAAAAAAATGTCTTAAAAACATAACCCTTTTTCCAAGTAAAACTATCTATCAGATTTTTTAAAGAAAAATGCTCAAAGGTAATGATCGCCAGAATGAGGAAGATACGAAACCAGGGACTCACTGTTTTTTTGTTATTGTTTCCTACACATAAGCAAATTTTACGTATGCGGATACAAACGTATCCGAAAATCTGAACGAGTGATAAATTGAAAATTAATGAAGTGAAAATAGATGGAACGGATCGCAAATTGCGCCAAAGCCAATAAAATATTTTGACATTTGGAGTTATCGTCTTAATCTGCTTCAATGACTTTTAAAAAGGAAAAGAAGAGAAGACACAACAATACAAACTAAAACAGATGGAACAAAAATGAACGGACGGACGGACAGACAAACGGCATACACATTGGACCTTTATGCCTTTTTCGTTTGGTTTAGGGTCTCACCAAAAGAGGGTTGTTTGCCTTAGGTAAACAGAGTGGAAAAAAAGACGTACATACCATGCGTTTGATTGTAGGTGTGCTAGCCAAGTATGAGGTTAAATATACTTGACCAAGTTAAGTTAAGCGTAGGACCAAAGATACCTGTTTGAAAAATTCCGCCTGTGTCTTGTCTTTCTGCCATCAATATAAATATTTTATTTTTGGACGTTGTTTTGTTTTTGTTTTTTTGTTGGTTCCTTTTCATGCATACTTCTTCTTCTTCCACCGAGTGATCCACATACATACATAATTTTTGACTGAGTGTGTTTGTCTGTTTGTTTTCATTGCAGTTACTTGGCGGCGGCAATGTTGGCCAAACATCATCATCATCAATTATGTCACACAATGCGCCCTCACCGCTGTCGGGAGGATCACATGAAAACTCATTAAGTCCCTCGGGAGGTTCATCCTCTTCGTCGGCATCATCGGCTGGCAATGGTCCTTTAAGTCCCGGTGCCATGTCACAAACATCCACCAATAATGCGGGAAGTGTGCCGCCGCCGTCATCATCACAACCACCAACACAATCTGGTTCAGTACTTGTGGGCAATAACGGTATCGCCAGCACGGCCACTCTTACAGATGCTGCACAAACAGCGATCTCTGCAGCCGGCTCAGCAGCAATGGGGGCAGGCAGCAGCAGCAGTAGTGTTGGCGGTGGGGGTTGTTGTGAAAATGGTAGGCCAATTATGACAGATCCCGTATCGGGACAAACTGTATGTTCGTGTCAATACGATTCGGCACGTTTAGCGCTGTCTAGTTATTCGAGAATGCCAACAGCAGCAAGTGTTGGCGTTTATGGCACAGCCTATCCATCAACGGAACAGAATCCATATCCTAGCATTGGTGTGGACAGTTCGGCATTCTATACGCCATTGGTAAGTTGAATTTGTTATTTGGCAATGATAGCGCATATGTATATATCACAGATCCCAAAAATTTCAAACAATATATTTTGGTTCCGAAACTCCACCATGTGTTTGTAATATCCTTAAAATATTAAAGGAGACCCCATAAAGATCGGAATAAAATATTATGTTGATCTATCTGTTCTGTCCGCCTATCTGTTCGTCAGATTCAAAACCTGATAGAACCCTAAACATTAAGGATAGGGCCTTGAAACCTTGCCATGGATAATACTCCTTGGTCAACATTTTTGTATAACTGCCTTAAAGGGTACCGCCGCATTTTTAAAAATGTTTTAACGAGTGTCTGTAATTTCACATTATTTGTGGATAATGTTCAATATTGGTCCAGGTTTTAACATAGACCCCAATGTACAGGTCCCGTCTACTTGTAAAAATTTCGACGATCTGATGTGGCAGTTATTTGGAAATTTGGGTTGTTGGTAGAATATATTTTGCAGAAAATTTTGAATAAATGTCCACATTTCAGCATAAACCAATTTTTTTTTGTATTTTTTAGGGTTTCGCATCTGCACAGATTTCATCAAAACGCAACAGTCAGTCGGACACACATTAGTAGTTTAGTGCACCATTTATATGGGAGCTATATCTAAATCTGAACCAATTTTCACGAAACTTAACACATATAATTCTGAACTCAATTCAGTACGCTGTGCCAAATTTCTTGAAAATCAAAGTATATGTAGGGACTTTGGTGTACCATTTACAATAAATCGGACGTAAATATATATGGGAGCTAACCATACACCATTTACATATCTAACTCCGATTTTCCCAATTTCAATAGGGAAATATTCAATATAGATCTACGTTTTTTATATTCCCACACGCCAATTTTTGGCGTTTTTATGGTCTTAATCACTAGGGGTCTTTGGGGTCTTGAAGGATAAACAACTTTGTTTTGACATGGCCAGGGATATTAGTATAGGGACGTAAGCAGAGGTGAGGGATATAAATAGTTCGACCGAGACAAACTCAAGGATATTTTCATTTTTTTAATTTATTATTTTATTTAAAAAAATTAAAATTCATTATTTTACAGAAAGGTTTATCTCTACCATCACTCTTTTACTTTCATATCATTTTTTTTATAAATTTCGAATATTGATTACCTCCCGCCAGTTAGGTGAAAATATATTAGAAAATAATTTCAAATTTTAGTCAAGCCTCACTGAAAATGAAATATCTGAGCTCAGTAACACTTTGTTATCTTCATATACTACTGAACAACACAATTTCGATTATTTGAAATTACATTGAACATTAAAAAATGAAAAAAACAACAACAACAACAAAAATTTTGTTTTCATATTTTAATAAAAATCAATTTATTTTTCAAAACATGATGTTATGGGCGAAGAAAAAAGAAGAAATTAAAAAAATATATATATTGTCAATAATAAATCTAACACAAACTATATATGGGGGTGGTGCGGTCTAGTTCAGTATCAACAACAAGTAACTCAATCACTGTTCGATTGTGATAGTTAGATGCAACCTCAACTATGCCAGAACTTGGTTGGAGGGGTGTCATCATTTACAACAGCCACTACAACCTCATGTTATGATAGTGTAGTTTGTATTATTATTATAATACTCGGGTGTTGACGTGACAATATACCGGCTCACAGCTTTTGGGCATTTATTATTGTCTCGTTGTCTCGATGACGTTATTGCAAATTCTCTAAAATGGAATGCCATGAGAATCGTCGTCCACAGACAAAACGAACAATGCTTGAATATTTTAAAATAAATTCTAAACGAAACGCAAAAAAAAAACATCAACATAAAAATAAAAACATTCCATGGCATAATGGTGGCGGTTTTGTTGTCATTGTTGGTTTGCAAACTACAACAAAGCCAAAAAAGGAGGAGCATGAGGTGTAATTGTTTTGTTGTTGATATTTTTTTTTTTGTAAGAACTTACGATTTTTGTAAACACCATAGTACTACGGCCCGGAAGTAGAGAGTGTATGACGTCGTTTTTAGTTTCCTTTTTGCCACCAATTTCTTACCCCACAATTTTTGTTTCTTCCCTTTTGACTATGTCAATCGTTGTCAATGACTAACTAAAGTTAAATTGTTGTTGCTGTCGATATTATTATTATTATTATTGGTTATTGTTATACTGGTGCCATTGAACAGCACAACATTTATTGAGTTGTTCGTACATGTGTTAAACATTTCCAATAGCAATAATAAAAAAACTGAAATTAAAAGGTTTTTATGTAAAACATTTTACAGTGTTATTACTGGGTGTTAGGCAGACAGACTTACTTGCAATTTAATCATGAATCTTACAGACTAAAATGTTTAGTTGAACTTTTATTTGATCGATTTTTTTTTTCAAGACTCAAGGGAGAAGGAACCAATTACATTACAGACGACTTTTTATTGTCTCACAAATTCCAACGGAGTTGTTGCAGGTTTGTCAAAAGATTTTGGTCATTTTTTCCAAAAGAGAAGGTCTAAGAACAAGTATCAATCTAAGTGTCTGTAATTTGGTATTTCGGTTTCTCAAGTATTAGAAAACCACTTGATTTTTTATTCAATATAGGACCATATTTTAACATAGTCTCGATATAAGGAGGTCCCATAGAATTTAAGTAGTTTGAAACACTGTGTTATGGTTGAAAATATATGAAATCCAGTTGACATTCTTTACTTTTTATATTTTGCGAGGGCACCCATATGAAGGACTCGGTCTATTTTAGGTATTTTGGGTTCCTTAATCTAATATTCAATTGAATTGTCTATATTATGTCAGTTCGGATTCTTGGTGGGAAATTAACTTCTTCACAGAACTTTTTAATTTGGCATTTCAGATTTTTTGAATTCTATAATAATTTACAAATATTTCTTAATGTTTTTATGTTTTCACATTCGGTATCCTGAAGGTCTTATCGAAAATTTAACACCACTAATTTCAGTGTTTTATATGTGGATACAAAACGAATTCTAGAATAATGCTCGGTACAGATTAAAATTTTTCAACAAAGCCCACATATAAAGCACCCGACCCACCCTGGATGTCTCTAATTTAGTATTTACTTCTCAAAGTGGATTTAAAAAATTCTGCTATAGGTACCTACAAATAATTTAGGTATTTTGAATGTGGATTCAAAAAATATTCGAAAATAGAAATAGCATAAAGATATTGACACACTTTGGGTATCCTGAAGGTCTTATTTGAAATTTTAACTTGAGTGCTTGTAATTTGGTAATTCTTTTCCAAAGAGGGATTGAAACCTTCTATTATAAACACCCCCATAATTTAGGTATTTTGAATTTGGATACAAAATGTAATACAACAATGTTTTGCTATTTACCGTATTACCTTTTTACAGAAAATCTTCAAAGTTAGGCCCACTCGAATTTTACGAGGTTTTTTTGTTCTAAAACTCTCGCAACTGATTTTATTTTACTTGCATATATTCGTTCTCTGATAGGATTACTTCCGATTATTTTTCGGTTTTTAGTTAAGTTTTGTCCAAGTTTTTGTTTTACAGAGACGACATCTGATAGAGATTTTTAAATTTTATTATTATTTTATTTAACCACAATTGTTTTTAAAATTATTTCTTGTTTTTTACAGGGCAATCCCTATAGCCTCAAAGAAACAACCACCGGTTCAGATATGACAGCAGCAGCGGCATGGTCCACGGCCGGTTTGCAACCAACAACCGGTTATTATTCATACGATCCAACATTTGCATATGGGTAAGTAAAATGTCATAATTTATATAAACAAATTGTCGTAATAAAAATAAATAAAATATTTATATAGAAATGAACAAAAAAAAAAAATGAGAATTGTTTATTAAAATCCAAACCAAGCTAAGAAATCTTATCAATTTTGTCTATTAAACTCGCTACAAATCTTTTAACAGCTCATAAATAAAAATAGGGAGGGGTTACAGCTAAAAAAAATTGATTTATTTCATTTTATCTCTCTCAGACATAACGCAAAATACATAGCACACACTCTAAATCAAATGAGATTGTTTTTTTTTTTTTGTTCGTTAGAAGCTAAGCCAACACTTACGACATTAAACGTAAATATGTATTTTTTGGCATTCTTAAGATCGCCAATCATGGCAACTTTTTCCTAGATATATAAAAAAATATTATTATCATTGAATAGAATTGCTCCCCTTGGGCTATTATGAACCGCACACAACATAACCAGCAAAAATATTCAGCTCAGTTAGCTACCATGCTACCATAACAACAACTGCTTCTTGGCAGTATAGAATCCAGTTTGTATGTTTGTGTGTTGGCTGAGTTTCCTTTAGCCAACTTTATTTCTTTGGGGGGTTTTCTTTCACGTAGTTCATCCTCTTAGTTTGCTGATAAAAGCAAATCAACAAGTGTTTGGTGTTAAGTGATGGCGGGTAATAAAATAAAATTTCTTGATTTTTTTGTTAAATCCTTAGGAGAAAAACCTTCATGAAAAAAGTACTTAGTGTTGGAAAATTCTACTTAACTCTTTTCAATGTTTTCTTATTTGTTTTTTTTTTTTAATTTTTAGATATGGTGCTTCTTATGACTTGGCCTCCCGACGCAAAAATGCCACCCGCGAATCCACAGCCACATTAAAGGCCTGGTTAAATGAACACAAAAAGAATCCCTATCCCACAAAGGGTGAAAAAATCATGTTGGCCATCATCACTAAAATGACACTGACACAGGTCTCCACTTGGTTTGCCAATGCCCGCCGCCGCTTGAAGAAGGAAAACAAAATGACCTGGGAACCAAAGAATCGCACTGAGGATGATGATGACGATGCCATGTTATCCGATGATGAAAAAGAAATGGACAAATCTGGCGATATGAACAAAATGGGAAGTGGCAGTTCGGCCACGGCATCTTTATATGGTAGCCAACAAATGCATAAAGGTAAATAATATAATTTCGAAAAAATAAATAATTATGGAGAATGAAAAGTGACAGGCAGGTTATAAAAATTTACAAAGGATTGTTTTCAAGGAATTATAAAGCGTGGATTTTTTAAAGATTTTTTTCAAGCACTTACACTGGATATTAAAAAAAATATTTTCAAGGACATTTAAGGCTTAGATTTTTTTAATCAAAATATTTTCAATGGCTTTTGAAACGTAGATTTTTCAATGAAAAAAATTCAAGGAATTAATAAGTGCTATTTTCAATCTTTCAATTTGATATTCTGCTTTTTAAAGAAAACATTTTAATGGATTTTTAAGGGGCTTGAAAGATTTTTTGAAATGAAAAGTATTTTGAAATTTTAGGTTTGAAACAGAAATAGATTTTTCAATGAAAAAAATTCAAGGAATTAATAAGTGCTATTTTCAATCTTTCAATTTGATATTCTGCTTTCTCTAAGGAAAGAACATTTTAATGTCGATTCATGTTTTGACATAACTCCCGCATAAGGGGCCGATATGAATGATTGAGATGTTTTGAAGGCCCTACTAACGCAAAGCAAGTATTTTGAAATTTTAGGTTCTCAGAGGATAACAGAAATATGGGTCTCTGACGTGTCATTTCCCTCATTTTCCAACCGATGTGGCTTTAAGTTATCCCTTCAGTTTGTCAGAAAATTAAATCCCGTTTTATTTTTTTTTTGTTCCTCATGGAACTGATTTTTTTCAAATTCTCGGCGTGTAATAACAAATTAACTTATTTTTGTCCCGAATGACTTATTGTATTATCTTAAAGACAGGCATGAAATGAAACAATTAAATTCAACGCCAACAAAAGTAAATAAATTTTCTTAAATGTCCACCCACCACAATTTTTGATTTCAAAGGGTGGATCACACCATTTACCAGCATCCGGCTAAAACTAAAGTCACCACCTTGTGATGGCAAATGAATTAAGTGGCAATTGTGTGTTTTTGCTTATTCTGTTACACAAACGTCTTTCATTTCTTGAAAAAATACAAAGAAATAACCGGAAGTTGACAGAGAGCTTAGCATGAACCATAGGACAGAGAAAGCTTAAGAGTTTTTTCTAGAAAATAAAAATATCCTGGGGTGGGTGGGCTACTTGCCAAACGGATAGAAGGATAAAATAGAGACTAGCGGCAAACCATAAGAAGACTTCAGATTTTTATTTTGTTTTGTGTGTGTTTTTAAATAATTTCTAATATCCGTTTTTCTGTTTTCTTTGATTTTCCATTTACAGAACACACCGATCAACTTAAGTCGAACGACCACAGTAGCAACAATGTTAAGCATAACGATTTAAAGCATGACGATGAAGATGATAGAAAACCAGAAAATTTAACAGCCCCAAGACAAATGGAAAATTACAATACCGCATCATTATACGGTGGTGTTGGCCAGAGTACAGCGCTTTCAGCTGGACATCATCCCAATGCCTATCATCCTTACCAAAGTCACCATAATCCACATACACAAAGTCTGTATTATCAGCAACAGCAACAGCAGCAGCAACAACAACAGCTTCTACAACAACACCAACAAGGTTATGCTAGTCGAGATGAATGTGGTATACCAATACCGGCCACAAAACCAAAAATATGGAGTGTTGCCGATACAGTAGCTAATAAGACACCACCGCCCACTGCTGGCTACCTCAACAGTGTTCAATCACAGCAGCAACAACAGCAATCTCAAGCTTCTTCTGCCTATTATACAAATAACTTAGCCATGAATAATCAATTAACAAATAATTCCCCACTTTCGATGATGAGTAATTATGTCAATGCTTCACCCTATGGTCGTTTGCCACCTGCCGCTGGTTATGGTGGACCCTCGAGTGTTAATTATGCTCAAATGAATAGCTCCGTATCACCTGCCTCGAATATGATGCATATGTCATCGGCGCCGACGTCGCTACATCAGCAACACTACAATTCAACGAATAATCCGAATATGCATCACCAGCAGCAGCAACAACAACAGCAGCAGCGTTTGGGGTTTCCTGAAATTCAACCAGATACACCACCCCAAACTCCACCCAATATGAAACATACAACAACACATGCCATGAATAACATTAATGGACTGGGCAATACCCCACCCAGCTCCTTGGCCTATGCCTCAGCGGCCAATAACAGTTTGAATACCTCATATGGCAGTGATATTTCAACGTCATCTCGTACCGGTTTGGAAATGCAATAATTGTTGCATATCAGGCAACAGGTATTGGAATTGACTCTCGTAATTCCCGATACTCGATGTAACGGGGAGAATATAACCGTATATTCCTAAAGGGTTAAGTGCAACAAAAACATTATTAGCATTAATAAGCAAAGATTCCTTTTAGGTTTATCTTAATGATTTTTTTTTCATTGAACATTCAAATAGCTTTTCTAGCATAATATGATACTGAAGAAAAAAAATTTAATTTGAATATTTTTCTGAAGAATTCAATTTGTTTTAGAAATTAAAAAAAATATCAATTCATTTGGTTACCTTGTTATAGAAAACTAAAAAAAAGAAGAATGTGAAAATAAGTTATTTTTTAATTGAGTTTCATACAGCGGATGGGGAATGTTCCATTGGGAAATACTTTGAAAGGAAGAACTTTATTCTATTAAAAAAAAAACGAAAAGTACATGAGAAATATTATCAAAATGATTGGCTATTTGTAAATTCAGTACCGGTTTTATTATCTGAATATCCGTTTCAAAAATTTGGAAACCGGGTTTTTCTCTTTATCAACTACAACGTTTTTCGCTTGCTATCTTCTTCATATCCCCTAACCAATGGGACATTCCTCAGAAACAAGAAAACAGAAACTAAACAAATTATTTCACATAACTGCAATAGCGCTCATAAGTGCATCTCTTCACTTAGATTAAGCAAACGTATGTAATTTATATAAGCATAACTATTAATTGTATATAGTTAATATAAGTAGTCATTAAAAAAACTAAATGTTTGTTAAAACTAAAATAAAAAAATGAAATACATAAAAAAACTAAAATAAAAATTTAATGACTTGTTCTTTACCTCTTTATCAGCACTTCCATTTACAGCTATGTAATTGAACACTAAAACATATATACAAACACATAAGTGAAAACAACTAATAAAAAAACAAGACAATTTGGTCAAAAACATTCATCACAATTATGAATCAACTAAAAAACGTTTGCAATTTTATTTGCCTGCAAATTTATATTTAATTAATTGCATTATTTGCCATAACATATGCACTCGACACGGCAGGGGTACGCTTAAAGGGGGAAAAGAAATACTGCAACTGCAGGTGATCGCTATAAACACACAGTAAAAATTTAATGCCTCGAACAAAATTAAAATAATTCAACACTTGAAACAATGAGGCTGACGCACGACGAAATAGCCAAGATCAACTAACAACAGGGGAATAATTGTGTGTGTGTGCGTGTGTGTGAAATAAACGCTTAACAACAACTTAAGAGGTATTACGAGCTTTAAACACTTAATCACCGAAAATAATTTTTCCAAATGTAAAAAAATATATATATATATTTATATGGGTATCTTATCATGCAAACCCTCCTCGGAAAGAATAAGCTTGTTTTATGAATGAATGTACAGCTAACTAACTGGTCGTTTGATTTGTCTGTCCGCACATTGCTTGACTAATATATCTTTTTGTATAATTTATTGTATCAGCCATAAAAAATCTACTTAAAAAAAAGACAGTAAACTTTTTTTGTGAAAAAAAAAACAGTCACTCGATTTCTCACTGTAAATGGTTTAAGCTTGACTACAACTTAATAGCTGGCTATCAAAAACAAATAAGCAAAGCAGATGGACGACATACACATATACCCGTTTGTATGTAGATTTGTGTGTGTGTGCAACACACCGCTGTCCATTATAAATGTACATATACACACTGTAATTATTTATTAAACATTTGACAAACAAAACAAAAGCACCGGTCGATATACACATACATACATATATAATTAATTAAAAATAAATTAACGCAATTATTATCATTATTATACTTACAATTAATTAAACAATAAAACGTTTATAATTTCTTCTTCTGCTGCTACAACTTCCTTCTTATAATAAGCACATAAATATATACATATGTATCTTCATTGTTTTATTTTATTACTTAATATATATAATAATTAATTACGATTGTATACAAAAACCCCCATTAAAAACTGTGATAATACGATTTATAAATAGTTAATAATGTATATATTATAAGAATAAAAATATATATGTACTGTGTGAATACAATATATAAACTTATTAATTAATTTAGAATATATAGAGCAATATATTAACAATACATTATTAACTGACTTATTAAATAAAAATAAAAATAATAATAATAATCATTTATAAATATTTAATATATAATGTAAAATAAATAATGTAAAAATAAAATATAAATAAATTACATAAAAATCATATTAATACACTTGTAGTTGTTTTTGAATAAAAAATGTTTTCAGATTTGTTTATTCATTAGGCGAGGATTCAAAAAATCCAAAATTGATCGACGACTTATAGCATTATATAGGGGATGGATATTTAAAACCTGGACGTATACAAAGGGTACTTTATGTAGTACCAGAAAAAATAAAAACATACACTGGTGGCCAAAACTAAAGCAACTAAAATTGAAAGGTTAAAAAATAAAGATAAACCAGTAAGGAAAGTAGTAAAGTCGGACGGGGACGACTATATGATACCCTTCACCACTATGAGTATATTAAACAGGACTATTATCATGAAATTGTATGAAATAAAATATGTGATATTTATCTACATGTAAAACGACCTAGATCTATCCATAAACATGTCATTCGTTTGTTACAATGGAACAGGTCATCCGTTGGGCTAGGTCTGTACTTCTAGAAAACCCAACTACGTTATTCTATACTCAATTTTGTACGTTGTGCAAAATTTGATGTCAATCTAACAAATATGAGGAGTTTGATGCACAATTTACTTATATATGGATGCTATATCCAAATATGAACCGATTTCAACGAAACTTGTCACAGGTTAGGCTATACTGATTTAAGTACGTTTTGTTCTTATCAGCCATATATTGGTTCCTTGGTGCGTCAATTACTTAAAATCAATATATAATATAAGGGAGCTACATCTAAATCTCAACCGATTTTCACTAAACTTGGCACACATTATTCTGGATTAAATTCAAAACTCTATGCAACGTAAGAACTTGGTATATCATTTAGATTAAATCGAACGAAAATATATATATATATATATGTCAAAATCTGAATCGATTTTTACGAAACTCAGCACACATCATTCCAGCAGTACGTTATGCCAAATTTCGTGCAAATCGAAAGATATATGGGACTTTGGGGCACCATTTACATGAAATCGGACAAAACTATATATAAGAGCTATATCTAAATCTGGACCGATTTTCTCGAAATATAACAAACATCATTCTAGACTCAATTCAGTACGTTATACCAAATTTCGTAAAAATCTGAAGATATATAGGGACTTTGTTTCACCATTTACATGAAATCGGAAGAAACTATATGGGAGCAATATCTAAATCTATACCGATTTTCTCGAAACTTGGCAGACATTATTCTAGGCTCAATTCAGTACACTATGCCAAATTTCGTTCAAACCGAAGGATATATAGGGACTTTGGTGCACCACTTACATAAAATCGGACGAAAATTTATATGGGGGCTATGTCTGAATCTGAACCGAATTTCACGAAATTGAACACACGTCATTTTACAATCAATTCAGTACAAATTGTGTGCAAATGGAATGATATATAGGGACATTGGTGCACCATTTACATAAAATCGGACGAAAATATATATGAGAGCTATATCTACATCTGAACCGATTTTCGCGAAACTTCGCACACATCATTCTAGACTCAATTCAGTCCGGTATACCAAATTTCATGCAAATCGAATGATATGTTTGGTCATTGGTGCACCATTTACATAAAATCGGAAGAAAATATATATGGGAGCTATATCTAAATCTGAACCGATTCCAATTTCAATAGGGTTCGTCCTTGGGCCAATCAAGTGACCTGTGCCAAATTTCATCCAAATCGGGTCATAAATACGACCTGTACTTTGTTAACAAAAATACATGGACGGACGGAGATGCATAATTCGACTCAGAAAGTGATTCTATGCATATTCTCAAAAGGAACCATGTGTCTATCTCGATTATTTTTGCCTTTTACAAACATATGCACAAAGACATAATACCCTGTACCACAGTGTGGTGAAGGGTATAAATATCGTGTTGTTGTTTTAGTTTTACATCGGGTACTTTATTCACATAAAAAAACCTTAATGCTTGGACAAAACTAAAGCAACACTACAGTATAAACAGATGAGCTCTAAAAGTTAGTTATTTTTACTGTTACAAGTACTATGTTTGGGTTTCGACACTTATTTCGATTCTTATAGATCATTATACCATTCGTGTGTCATGTTTCGTGAAAATCGGTTCAGATCTACATATATCTGCCATATACAGTAAATAGTACACCAAAGACCCAAAGTTAGGCCGATTGGCACAACATTTTGCAAAACGTACTGAAGTTACTAGAACATAACGTGAGTCAAGTTTTGTTGAAATCGGTTCAGATCTAGATATAGCTCCCATATATAATGCTTTCCGATTTTAAGTAAAAAAACGACTGGCAGAACATTTTGCTCAACGTACTTAAGTTACTATGACATAACATTTATCAAGTTTTGTCGAAATCGGTTCAGATTTAGATATAGCTCCCATATATAGTTTCGTCCAATTTTAAGTAATGAGTGCGCCAAAGCCGTATAATATGGTCGATTTGCACAGGAGTTTGCAAAATGTACTTATGTTAGTGTGTCATGTTTCGTTGAAATCGGTTCAGATTTAGATATAGCTCCCATGTATAGATTCGTCCGATTTTAAGTAAATGGTGCACCAAAGCCCTTATGTTTGTCAGATTGACACGAACTTTTCCACAAAGTACAAAAATTGAGCATAGAATGACGTAATTGCGTTTTGTAGAAATCCAGGCGTATCCCATATACATTTTCTACCGAATTGATGTTAATTGGGCTCTAAATAATCAACGGATGTCGGATTGAGATTTGCTTTAAATCGATTTACATAATTTGGTCCCAAAGTGGTAGCAAAATGGGATGATA